TTATAATAGCGCACAACGGCGGATCCAGGGGGGGGTCATGGGGGTCTTGACCCCCCCCCCCCCCCCGAGCTAGTTCCAGGACTTGAACTAACTTGAACTAATTGAAGAACATCATGATTTATTTATTATCTATTGTTATCAAAATTAAATTATAAGTTCTTCACTTGCCCACGACTATGTGACCCCCTCCTGGCGCCAAAGCTGGGTCCGCCCTTGATAGCGCATTTATCATGCACTACTGACAAACACAAAACATTGATGATTTACAAAAGTGATGTTAGTAATTAAAAATAATTAAAACTGACTTCAGTAGTGGAATAAGTTTATTAAAGTTACTGAAAGTAATATACACAATTTCATAGACATATGAATTGAGGGTTATTTAATTTAAAAAAAAATACAATTTTACCTATCTGAATGCATGTACCTACGCTATTTCTGAGGTATCCTGAGATGAAAAACATGAGAAACAATTGGTTAAAAAAAATGCATTTTTACTTGACTTGGATTTTTTTTGTATAATATATTTTTTTATAGCGTAGGCTAGTAAATGTCGCTTACGACCTACTTTGCGTTAAGCACATAGGCATCACAAAGTGAATATCGCCACCTACATATTAAAAAGTCGTATTGGCCTAAAGGATAAGACGCTCAGTGCATTCGTATCAAGCGATGCAACGGTGTTCGAATCCCGCAGGCGGGCACCAATTTTTCTAAAGAAATACATACTTAGCAAATGTGTGACTTCTACGGTGAACGAATAACATCTTGTAAGAAAAATCAAACCCGCAAAATTATGATTTACGTAATTACTGTTGGTAGGACGTTTTGTGAGTTCGCACGGGTAGGTGCCACCGCCCTGCCTATTTCTGCCGTAAAGTAGTAATGCGTTTCGACTTGAAGGGCGGGCCAGCCGTTATACTGTTACAACTGATACCTACCTTAGAACTCATATCTCAAGGTGAGTGGCGGCATTTACGTTGTAGTTGTCTATGGGCTCCGGTAAAACCCGTCTTGAGGCTTGAGATCTATGTCTCAATTGTTTGGTAATTACGCACAATAAACATTTTAAGAGTTTAATTTTTAATAAACGATTTTATTCCTTTATTGTAGTAGTCATACGTCAACATGTGTTAAGTACGTATTTCTTTCGATGAGTTAACACAACAGGCATAGTCACATCAGTCGATACGAGTACAAAGGCTGTTTCATTCTTGAAGCCTCGACGACTTCTCAAGAACTAAACCCGAAAACAGCTTACCATAAAACATTATTAACGGAAAATCAATATGACAAAAACTAAATAACTAAATTTGTATCAACGAATTAAAAACCGAACCATCGAATCGGATAGTTCCCGAAAAGCAAACACTTCCAACTATATAGAGCATTTCAATTAATCGAAATCTTTCTGTTGATGCAACTTTAAATCAACACTGAAACGTAGTTCAGTAAATAGGGTTGAACTTGAATCGCTACTAACTACAAAAGGCTTCGAAGCGTAAAAATAACGATGTGCTTGCTCTCTTCGACTTGTGCACGTGCTTAGTTCAGATGGAAATCGTTAATTTAAACTTTGCGCTTGGAAAGCGAGCTCTGGCTTTCTTGAAGCAGTAATCCATCTCGAATAATCATTATGAGAACAAAATTAGCGTCTAATTTAAATATATGATAAGGATACTGCATGAATTATGTACGCGGGTGTTTGCATTGCGAAGATGCCAATCGATGAAATACGCAGTAACTATGATTGAGCAACCTTGAAAAATTGACTGTGGTGGGCAAGGTAGAAGGGAAAAGACCCGCCGGCCGGCAACCAAACCGTTGGTCAGATCAGATGACTGCGCTCACTGAACTCTCTGTTGCGACCGCCCTGAGAGAAGCCGAAAACCGAAGGAAATGGAAGCTTATGATACAAAGAGCCACGAAGGGCTGTCAGGGACACGACCTTCAGCAAAGAAGTATGTGACTAAGAAGAAGAAGAAGAATGATTGAGCTCTTGAACTAAGGAGAATTTGAATAATCCAAGTGGCTTTTTTGGTGTTTTTGTGGTTACTAATACTACTTAATCTCCCATCACTAGTTTTTTTTTTTTTTTTTTAAATCATTCGTAAATTATCTTTTTGCTTTCCTAAATTAATGAATCCTTAAATATTTTTTTATCGTTCGCATGGGCGGCGTTCTCACGGCCCACCGGATATCAAGTTGTTGGCGGAGCCCATAGACATCAACGATGAAAATATCGACAGTTAACTTGAGACATGAGTCACAGTTTTTCAATACAACCCGACAACTGGCCGCTCACTCTTCAAACCGGAACGTATTAACATCACGCGGTAGATATACAGATACAAATACCTGCCCTCAATTAGAGATAGATACATTGTTGGGTTTGATTTTTTAATTGTTCCACCGTACCGTTTGTTTTTTGTTTTTTGAAAAAAAGAGGTAACCCTTGCGAAATTTGAGCCGCGGCAAATTCACATCGCTTATTACGAAACACCGTGCTTCTCGTAACTCAGGGCACACTGTGAATAAAGATGAAGCCAAAGGTGTTATATTTAAATTGGAGAATCAAAATTATTATAATTTCATTAAGCCCAATATGTATTCAAGGAAGAGTAGACGGTCAACGCTCTCGCGGCCGATCACCCACAAGGTGGACAGACTTGGTTAAGTTTTCTACGAAGTGTTCCCTTACTGAGTGTACACGTACCGCCACAAATAGAGAGAGATGGAGAAGCCTCTCAAAAGCCGCAACCAAATATTAAGACTTACGTAACCACGACCACTCCGCCAGGAGTGAACGACTGAGAAGAAGAAGAATATGTATTCGACCAGTTTCTAATTTTTTACTAAATTCTATAAGTATATCGATGACCTCTTGATATCTGGTCTGATTAATACTTTGAGTAATGATATTGAATGTACTGTGAAAGTACATGAGATCATCTCAATGAGAGTGTGCGGAGTTAGTAAAGACAACATTCAATTAATGTCTATGGATATTATGGCTGCATATACGAACTTATCAATTTTTTTATTTAAAACTATCTCATGGTATTTTTTTATCGCGAAGATTTAAACCCAAATCAAAATAATCTGGCAAATCTGATGATTACTATTAGTGCACTCCGTGTGAAATGAAATGTAAAAGTCTAGATATATTTTATATCTAACAGAAAAATACACGATATTTTTAACACAACATTCAAATGTCGACAATAAACTGCTTAATCGACCATGACCACAAAAACTGTAAACTACATAATATTCGAAACGTCGGTTATAATAAAATTTAAGTAAAAATAATAAAAGTAGTTTTAATTATATCTACGACTCGGAACAACCGAAGAAAATACTTTATCAAAATATTTTATTACTCGGCTCACCCTCGGCTGACCCTAGTAAGATAAATACGCGGGAATATCTACAGACCGTAGTGCTTGGTGAAGTGTCCCTCCCGACTCCACGTTGTAGCTTTTAAATAATTACTTGGTAAATTCTGATAGAATATATTCTGATAGAATGGGAAGAGCTTGTAGACAGCTCAAATTGAGGCATTTGTTGTGGAGACATCTCAAATAACAGGCATCGAATTGTCCACAACTTAATAGATGATATATTTGTTTTCGCATCGAGTATGCTATTATGCCAGGTCTTAATCCTACGCCAGGTACCCATTTTAATGACTACATACGAATACCAATGAGTTCTGGTTTAGGGGGTACAGCCGTTATCATGACACAAGAGAGATGGCGGCTTGAATAGTCGGCTCAGATGGGCTGCGAACTTGTTCTGTGAAATGAAAAAAATACCAATAATAAGAAACTTAATCTTGTTCATCGGTGATATCCAAGATGAAGCAATAACATCGTGTGACAAATGCTAACACACAAAATCACATTTAGTTAGTAACTCGCAGTGTGGCCAATTGTGAATATGGTTAGGTATCACTATCTGGTCTATTCGTAAACCTAATCAGGCATGTGTTTCGTCTTAATGAATAAATTCTTTTTTTCCTGTGATATATTTTATTCGTTTTGGAAGTAGTTGTGTCCAGGCTATGTCCAGGCTATGTCAGTAGCTTTATTTCTCTGGCGAATGACTTCGTTCAGGATAAGATTCCTCAGAGAAACATCGAGCATGACTCACTCCATGTTCACTGAGCGACTTTAAGTATTCGGACGAGTCGTAAGTTTCTATATCTCAGACCTGCAAGTCATGACGCATAAGACGCACTGGTTTCAGAGCTTACTAATTACGTAATAATTTTATTGTAAATTTTTAGTTTGCTAATATTCTTTTCATTGTTTTTGGTATTTTTCATTATAATTAAAGTTATTTTAAAGCTTTATTGGCATTTTTATTCAATCTTCATTAAATTCCCGGACAAACAACCAATAAACAAACAATGAGAAACTGGGAAATATCTTATTTTTATTTTTATTTATTTAATATATTTTGTACACACAGCTGTTAGAAAAGACACGTCAATAAGGATACAGAGTACAAGGGCACTCTTAATTGAATTGTACTATTGATCTTTGTATTTTAGCATACCTTTCATATAGCTACCATGTTTATTTTTAGTTACGAATGCCATGTCAGCGGCAGACCGAGGCCGCAGATCGAAAGCGACCCTTCGTTTCCATGAAATTGAATAAACAAACACAGACGACAGTATTGCAGCGCTTGAGATTCATTCGACAGAAACAATTCGTATCGTTTTGCATCTGCAGCTGCGGTACTGCCAATTCCTCCAACCATTCCTTTATAGTGGAAGCTAAATTATTAACTTGATACACTGCTTAATTAAATTTGACCTTCAGAAAAAGAAACGGTTGAGTTTGTGATCTCAAAACCGAGATTGTTATAATGTTATATTTACGTGTTTTAAAAAAAAGGGAACTATTCAATTTCTGTTTCTTTATCTTTGTTATCATTAAAAATAACTCAAGCAAAGCATAAACGTTTTATTCTTAATTTCTACTCACCAGGCTGTGACGGAATCGAACGCCAACAACAACTGGATCCAGCGGCAATTCTCGCGTCTGACGAAGAACTGGCGGTTCCGTATCAAAAATGAAGGTCGCGCCAAGCCCCCCGATTGGTTCCTGGACAAATTCGCTGCACAAACGTTCACCGACCCCGAAGAACCGCTCTACCAGGCACAACGTTCCAAGCTACTCTGCGGGATGAAATTAGCCTTCGACCCAACCTTACCAACTCATTATAACGTAAGCTTTTTTTTAACTAACGACAAAATTTGATTTTTTTTCCTACCTATTCTGATAGCCTTGTGGGGCTATAGCACCTTCACCCTAACGTGTAGGTGAGCTCACGGGGTTCAAACCGGAGTGGTGCTAACACTGGCCCTAGCAACAGCAGTGCTTCGCAGAAAAAAATGATACTTACAACCAGCTTATTATATACACTGTAAGCATGCTGTCGATTTGTGTATAACACACAACAAATTAGGTACTTAGATCAAAAAAGGGATGTTTGAGCTTACTAGCGTTCTTATTTCCGCTGCAGAACACACTGACCGCCATAAAAGGGCAATATATATTTTATTATTATTATATGATTAATTTTTGTTATATCTTTTATTTATAATTTTGTTGGAAATAGGTCTCATGTGTCAATTAAACGATCGCATTCATCTGACGTTCTTGGATAGGTATTGAGCTATTACTTTTTAATAATTTTTAGTATATTTATTTAAGTTTTTATTTATTTCCTATATACAGATATACGTAAGTTTGCTTATAGTTCTATTTCTTATATGTATCCCATGATTGAACCATAACATAAGAAGCGATGTCTCAATCAAAGCCACCAGCACTCCTAATCCGAAAATGACTTTTTGATTGTGATGAAGAAAGATGATTTTATGAATGCGAAATCATGGCATAATAAAAACTTTGGTCCTAATTTAGATAGTGTATACAGACGGCTGTATATACAAAATGTAAACAGTAGTATCAAATATATACAATATATAAAAATATATACAAACGTATGTAGAGAATATTATCAAGTAACCTTTCCATTCCGTCACTGTCCCGTTTCTACATCAATTCGGTACAATAATCAATCTCACTTCATAGATACGTACATATGTATATGGTATTTGGTCAACAATTGGCGACCCCAATCGACGCTACGAGGCACACGGAATATCATTTCTCGATTCGGATATTTCTTGTATAACTGAACTTACTAATGTATAACATATACTTTGGTCAGTTACGGTTTTCGCTTTTGACCGAGATAAACAAAACATTTTATTTATTATATTTTTTTTATTTCTTAAATAAAATTTGAGATGTGTATAGTATATCACAATCCTAGTTAATAAATCAAATACTCAAACACAATAAACATTTCTGAATGTAATACCTAATAAAAGCAGCTATAATCGAATGAGTTCCTAAAATATTGAAAAAAAGTTGTTTATTAAAAAGGAAAAATTGTTAGATCAGATTGTCTATAATTTAAGCAGAGTGTTACCAACTGAGAGAGCTACTAAATCGAATGAATTGAATGATTTTTACTGGTGTTAGGACCTCTTGGGAGTCCGCACGGGTAGGTACCACCAACCGTTCAGCCATCTATGCAATAAAAAAAAAGAATGAGAGATATCAACCCCAAAATAAGTATCTTTAATAAATCTTGAGTGATTTTCAATGACACAAAATTTCAAATCAAATGATTAAATGTGATTTAATTTTTTTATTTTACATTTATTACCTTTGATGTAATTTAACTGTAAATAAAATGAAAGGCGTTGGAGATTCGCAGTGTTATGCGATGCGGAGAGACATTCATTTGTTGACTTTATTTTACCTTGGCTCTCCGTACATGCACTAAAAAAGTAAAAATTGTCTTATCCGTAATTTTTTAATTTTTTTTATTTCGAAAAAGTCATTTACTATCTCGGTTTCTTGGCTACTGAGGTCTATAGATATCGGAACAATAATGTGAAGTTTTAATTAATTAATAATTTCAAAAGTCCAAGATTCACTGGTTCAAATAGTTTGAAAAAAAATATATAGTATATTACAATATGTACTTAAATAAATGGTTGTGTAAGTCGTAAATTCAACAGTGGTTGGCGGTTGTTTCCCTGGCTATCCTGTACAACGTGGTGTTTGTGATCGGACGAGCGGTGTTCTGGGAACTAGACAACTTGACCTCTGTCTGGTTCGTCCTGGATTATCTATGCGACTTCGTTTATCTCGTCGACACCGTTATACATATACACGAAGGTATGTTAACTAAAATCTTATGCTGGGTGTTAGGAGAGCGCTTTCGAGAACGTAGAGAGACGATAGTACTAATGACACCTTTGATGATGGAGTTATTTGGAGAAGAATATCAGAGGAATATTAGAGGAGAATATGGAGATGAGGAAGACAGACGATAGTACTAATGACACCTTTGACGATGGAGTTATTTAGGCAAATGTTGTAAATAAGTATTTGTGGGATCGCGCGAGTCTGCGCCGCGCCACACCCGTGCGGTCGTTGATCCGAGCATCAGCTGTTTTTGATTTTGTGTTTCATTGCTGGTTTTTTTTAAAGTAAAGTAATGCATTTTTTATGAAACTATCGTTTCATTTAGTTGTACTAACATTATGGCACGTAAATAATGCTAATAAAACGTTTTAAAAATATATTCTGTTTTAGTCATGATCGATTTTCTTTCCGGCCCATCATCAAAGGTGTCATTAGTATTATCGTCTGTCTTCGTTTTCGGAAGCGGTCTCCTAGCATCCAGTACGTAGCGAATTACAAAAAGTTTCGTATAGTATCTGTATATGCAATTTATTGCGAAATTGTACCCCAGAAATTTCACACTATTGAGCAATATTTAAATAATCAGAATGACCGAGTTGCTTGTAGGTACCTTTACAGAATCTTCTCAATTATAATTAGTAGGATACGACGGTGTTATTTTTCTTGTTCAGTGACAGAGTTAGCTATTAAGGAGTGTTTGAGTTAAATTTTGTAAAAATGTTATGAAAACATCGGCCCAGACGTAGCAAGATACGATTATTGGGTACGACTTCTTAATAACACCATGCTACAAAACCAAGTAGAATCCTTTTAGTAATATTCAGCGTCTGATCATAAGGCTTGATCTACACGAGCGTAGCTGAAAATGAACGTTTCTAATTACATCGAAGATGAAGACTGATGCCTAGTCCCAATCATAATGTGCTTTATTGTGTTTTATGGTTTCTTTTAGAGAAAATAGTATGACTGAATGGAATGCTTTAGGAACTTGAATTAAAAACGGGATTTTTATTTCAAGTTCCAGATTGGACATGGATTCCAATGAAGATAGTGCGTGTTCAATTAATAACTAACCATATTATTATTTGTCCCTGCCTATTCCCTGGTAGAGAGAAATTGCTAACCCTAGTCCTAGCAAGAGCAGTAGTTCGCATAATCTATCGCTGGATTGGAATCGCGACCCAATAAGCAGATCCGACGAGAAATTCAGTGGCCTCCGTCTATGAGTTAATGTGCACGTCGAACTCTTCGATCGACGAGTTTGATGAGGATGTTGACTGGAGCTTTAGGGGCCTTAAAGCACCGAGAATGGGTCCGAGGGGTCCGACAAGACATAGATCGGGCGATGACGTCTTTGCCACCTGGTGTTAAGTGGTTACTGGAACCCATAAACATCTACAACGTAAATGCCGTCACCCACCTGGAAATATGAGTTGTAAAGTCCCACTTTTAACAGTACAACGAATACCCCGCCCTTGAAACCGAAACGCATTACTGCTTCACGACAGAAATAGGGAGGGAGGTGGTACTTACTTGTGCAGACTCTCAAGACGTCCTACTACCAGTGGGTCGGATGAGGACTAACCATAAGCCTTTATTGAATTGTATTGAAGCCCAACGGATACTGTACAAACTAATGTCTATACTAACGTATACGTAAACGTAATATAATCACCATTATTTCGTATAGTAGAAAACAAATGTTCCCTTTGCAATAATCATTCAAGACAAAGCTAAGCATAGTATAAGTTTAAGCAAACTGAGTTGTTATTAATCACTCTCCGGATATTGAATCAACACAAAACAAACATTCCAATCTACCTAACAATCTACAGGCAACAAACATTAGTTGTTAGCAGAATAGTGATCATAGTGCCACGTGTCGCGCAATCAAATTAATTACTGAAATCGCAGTGTTATTACAGGTGCGGATGACCAACTGAAACATATTATCGTGCTTGTTTTGTTTTAAGGTTTTTGGAACGAAGTTCCTTATCGCGCGTTGTGAAAGGGGGCTAGACAGAAAAAATTCTTACGAAAAGTTGTCACGACACTTTTTGCTATAAATTCTTACGAAAAGTTGTCACGACACTTTTTGCTATAGTAAGCTATTGTAAGCTGTGCGGCGTCGCATGTTTCTCTGTCTGTCTGTCTGTCTCTCTCTCTGTCTCTCTCTCTCTTTCTTCATACCTCGAATAGAACTTTAAATTAATATTTTTATAATTGGGAACTTCGTTCCTATCCGGTGTCCCACGACACCACACATCTTTTTTTTTTAAATCACCGCTATTGGCTTAAGCTGTATCTATGTTATGGAATTTTCCGACGTAATTTTCGCCGATTTAAGCGTGCATTAATTTGAAAATGTGCACTCATATCAAAAACTGATGATTTCACTTTTATAATTTTTTATTTATTATCCAAACCGGGATACAATTTATTATATTATTTTAAAATTTAGTTCGATTTGCTCTGAAAAACGTGTTTTTATTATATTTTAACGCTACATTTTTAGTATCTTTATAATAATACGTGAAGCAAAAGCTTTGTACCCCTTTTTATGAAAATTGCGCGGACGGAGGAGTATGAAACTTCCTACACTTATAAAGAATATAGACAAGCAGTGCAGAATGATAATATTTTATTTAAAATATACATAAAAATACATTAAATAAATAAATAAAACATTACACACACTATCATGTATTTGACACGACACATACATATAAATATACTCTTTGTTTACTGTTAATTGTCAAACTTTTGTTACTGTTTAAAGTCTGTGGTCAAATTGAGAATAGATTAATATTGTTTGTCTTTAATATTATTTATCTATAGTGTAGTTTTGTCGAAATCTGTGATTATATTATAGAAGTATTTATAATGTCTTTGACAATAGAATCATAATAATGTTCCAATTATAGTCGAATTTCGACTACTGCGGAACCACTAGTAATTGTTTATTTTAGGGAATTAATCAATAATGACGATACCGTCCCGTGATTTATAATTTAAAAACAAAAAGTAGGTAAGAATTTAAAAAATTTCAGCGTAAAATATCCAAATTAAATTTATAAAATCGCGGTCGCGTGTTTATGAAAATTTATGTAAAGCATTTGTAGCATCGCATTTTCTAGACAAAGGCCAAGCGTACGACCACAATATGCTTAATATTGAAACACATACAGTTTAATGCTAGTTATATGTAGTTTTAATTTAACGCGCCGTGTTTTTTATATTAATAGTAAATAATAATATACAGTTAATAAATTATACACTAGAAAATAAATGTAATAAATACTTCATCAAACCGACTCATTATGTGGGAATTTGACGAGAGATCATTTATTTAATTTAGGGATAAATTGTTATGAATTCAATAACATAATCTATATATTAATACGCGAAGCAAAAACTTTGTATCCCTTTTTTACGAAAATTGCGGGGATGACATTTTCCACAGTTGTAGAGAATATAGAGAAGAAGTGCACAATGCTAATAATTTTTTTAAATAATGCATAAAAGATACATTAAATCAATAACGAAAACATTACACACACTACAGACATGTATTTGACGCACACACGCATGCATACTATTTATTGTCAAACTTTTGTTCTTGATGTCTGCTGTCAAATTGAGAATAGATTAAAAATTGTTTGTCTTTGTTAAATCTTTTATAGTATAGTCTTGGCGAAATTTGTGATTATAGAAGTATAAAATACAATCATAATAGTGTACAAACTTACAATTCCAATTAATTATAGTCGAATTTCAACTACTGCGAGACTTCTAGTTACTTTTTAATGTATGAATACAATACAAGTTTCTTATGTATTATTGTGCTTGCTGTTAAAAAATGAATTCAGTTTTCAAACAGCTTTGAAATTAGTTTTGAATTAACGTAACAATCTATTGTCTTAGATAAGCTGACGTGCTCAGTCCTTTTCTATTAACTAACCGCCAGAGCCAGATGTCTCAAACAAATAATCCGCTATGCACCTTTAAACATGTGTTATATAATTCAATTCACAAGCCATTTACATTAATTCGAACGACCGACAATTTTAGCTTAGTACAATAAAAGCGGGTGGATGTCATTGTTAATTGTGAAACCCAATAAAGTGAAGAAAGAGATTAAAAAGAAAAATTTACGTGTTCTTGCAGTCAGATAAATGTCGCGTAGGGAAATGTCGCTTAAACCAAATAACCCTTGATTTTGTAATTTTTTTTAACTAACCTGTTACAATAGTTTTATTTTAAGCATCTCAAATACCAAACATGTTTTTGTTTTCAAAAACAATAGATAACACTTGAAATTAAATTTCAAATTGCAACGTTTTATCCTTTCAATTGTAATTAAGTTCATTCCAAAAACCACATATCATTCAATTCGAAGCCGTAAAATAATCTATATAAAATAAGATAGCATTTTACAAAAACAACAGAACATTCTAATACAGCGAATAGAGAAGGTCGAAAAATATTTGCAAAGGGAATGTTTGTCACTATATACAAAGAGAGGGCAATTTATTTGCGTTCGTTTGTACACCTCACGGTGAGGACGAATCTATTCCGCAACGTTTTCTTTAGTTAACAATCAATAGAATTATATTATCAGATTTCGAGCTAAACGATGAACTGTTAACATAAAACCAGTATCTATACTAATATATAAATCCACAGTGGTTTTTACAGATGTTCCGTTATAACTACTGAACCATGCATCCGATTGACTTGAAACTTGGTATCCATGTAGAAAATAGATAAACTTAATTGATAGGCTAATATTTATATAAGTGTTGGACTCCCTAATAATAATGACAATAAATAATAATGTTAATTTTAAATGCCGAGCGAAGCGCGCGAGCACGGCTAGTTTTATATAAATTTACCACAAAGAAATTATGCATTGTAATAAATAGGCAGCCGTTGTATTACAATATTGAAGTTTCGGCCTCAAATGTGGCGGATGATATGTGTCACTGTGATGTCAATCAGAGAAATCCGAGAAGTAATATCACACACGAAGTGACACTTGAACCAAATACGAAACAAATGCTGCATGTATAACAAACCAAGCGTACAGTATACGGCGAGGTAAACAATGAAGACGACATAAATCCATTGCGTAGCCTCCGCGAACATAAATGGCGAAAAATCTGTCCCTATCTGCTATTTCAAAACAAAAATACAATTTATTATTATATAGGTAGGTGTCCTTTTTAGCACGACCAGTTTCTAGTTTCATTAATAAGGCTTTCCTTAGAGCTGAAAAGAGTTGCAAAACAATGTCTTATGCCAACCAAGTTTTTGTTTATAAAGGGGCGCGCAATGTATGTGGGACTTTCCTTAAAGGAACCACTGCCCTATATTTTTTGTGGAGGCTAAAACTAGACATTAGTCCTTCTTCTGGTGTGGCTAGATCGAATCGATCAGTGCGGAAAGAGAAGAGCTATCACGATCCCCCGCAGCGGCAGTGGACAGTTAGAAATCGGCCACTACGTTCCAATAATCGACCCTGCTCAGCACTGTAACAGCAACGATAGCAATGAATTTTTTTTTTCAAATCTGAACTTCGAGAGCACGTTATGAGCGCGTGCTGAGCCATTTCTTCGTCGTAACTACAACAGTGGCACTCCATTCTCGGCTCCCTCCCGGTGACTTAGTGCAGGTGACCCGGAAGGTGAGATTCTTTTGGCCACTGTTCATCCAGTCTGCGAACATTGTGGGAATCGGTCGGTGGGACAAGCAAAGCAGCAAGATGGCGTCTCCAATGCGTCTTCTATAACAATTTTAACTTAATTTAATAATATATTGATATCGAATGTACAAAAATGTAGACAAAACAATTTAAAAAAAAATACACAGACTGACATGACAAGTGTCATAACACAAGCCTGAAAACGGTTGCGGTTCGTAACTAAGCACCGATTATTCGTATTCATTCGGTGGCTAATAAGTTTTTTTTTAAACCCATGCTGATAGCCTCGAAATGCTATTTCAGCTTCACTCTAACATGTGTAAGTGAGCTCACGAGGCTCAAACTGGAGTGTTGCTAACACTGACCCTAGCAAGAGCAGTGCTTCGCAGAATCTACCACCGGATCGGAAACGCGACCCACTGAGATGATCCGGCGAGAAACTCAGTGGGCTGTCTAATAAGACTTTTAGTACCTAAGCAAACTTTATTGCATAGATTGCGTGAAATACGAATAACATTCATAAGTATGGTTCATAAAGGGGTCCCTTAATAATTTGGTACAAATCAAAGGCTTACTTAAAACATGTGATAGGTGTTTGAACATTTTCGATCACCTAAAATCTTCGTATAATCCGTCCCCTATTAGATAAGGCTGTCCTAGTCCGTAACCCGTAAAGTGTTTACGAGCGATGAGTGCATAAAAGTCACGGGGGCTAGTGAAATCGATACCACTCGCAACAATGTAAGTTACGTGTATTGAGTTCAAGTGAGCTCGCAAATCAACAATTTGACACCCACACGCTGCGCCTCGCCTTGCGTCATCAAATTTAGCTAACGTGTAGACAAACATTCGACCCTGCCTTGTTGCTTTTTCCGTACAAATATTGCATTGCGGCGGTACACTTTTATTTTTGTGATTGACCTCTTGTTTATCAATGAACTCGTATGACGAAAATCTTACCGTAGCTAAAAATTTTCACTAAATTATAATTTCAAATGTTAATATATAGAAATTCTCTTAGTGTGAGTGAACGTGAATTTTATTTTAAACAATTACCGTATTTTATGAGTGGCCTAGCGATTTTTATCATATTTATTTTTAAGGTACATATTATGAAATGTAAATGTGATTTTCAGGCTATCTCGAACAAGGACTGATGGTTAAAGATGCGAAGATGCTCAGACACCACTATCTAAAGTCGAGCTCTTGGAAATATGACCTGCTTTCATTGATACCGACCGATATAGCGTACTATTGGTGGCCTCCGGGATCGTGCGATCATGTTAGTATACGTCATCGTCGTATATCAACAATTTAACGTATATAGTTCATTACATGACGTTATTATTGAATGTTTAACCTTGATTCCGTTTCAGATGCATTTGCCGTGCCCGGTTATCGTGCGGTTAAATCGACTTCTCCGCCTGCCTCGCATGTGGGAATGGTTTGATAGAACAGAGACAGCCACAAGTTATCCGAACGCTTTCAGAATTTGCAAGGTAATTTTTTTTTTTTTTAAGTTAAACTTCTTTAGGCGCGTTATGAAAAATTGATGAGAGTGAAATTTTACGATGCGCGCGCACCGTGACATTAAATTAACAGAATGAAGTTGCCCACTAAATCGCTCATTACAATACGACCGACGTAACTTGGCGAGTCTGAATATAGCCGCAGGTGAACTTTCGCGCATGTACACTCGTACAAAAAAGTGTTATTAGCATTCATTTTTTAGTAATATAAATGACAAAATTATTATTTAATATAATTCATACTAAATATCATTAAATTATTAACGTTAAATACTTATTATTAACTATTTAATATTTAAAAAAAAGAAATAAATTTAATAAAAATAAAGTATAACTTCTTACGCGCGTACATAAGTACACGCACCCTTTTTTTATTGCTTAACTAAGTGAACGAGCTCACAGTCACCTAAAATAAGACGTCAGGAACCCACAGACGTCACCAGTTGAATATCGCCAGCCGCCTTAAGACATGAGGTTGAATTATATTGTGTAACGACTGCCCCGCCCCACCCTCCATACCGGAACGCATGACTTCTTCGCAACATAAATGGGAAGAATGGTGATACCTACTCACGTGGGCTGAAACACCTTACAAGTAAAAAAAAATCCGTTTGAATTAATTCATTAACAATTTTTGTATTAAAGAAAAAACATTTCATTTTAGGTTGTGATGGCGATACTAGTTCTTATCCACTGGAACGCTTGCCTATACTTTGCTATCAGCTATGCTATCGGTTTCGGTACCGACAATTGGGTATACAATTTGACAGGCTCTCGCAACGGTTCTTTGACGCATCAATATATCTATAGTTTTTATTGGTCAACTTTGACTCTGACGACCATCGGTGAAACACCACAACCGGAAAAGGACGCCGAGTATTTGTTTGTCGTGGCTGACTTTTTGGCGGGAGTTCTGATCTTCGCCACAATCGTAGGGAACATTGGCTCGATGATTTCAAACATGAACGTTGCCAGAGTTGAATTCCAGAATAAAATGGACGGCGTGAAACAGTATATGGCCTTTAGAAAAGTAAGCGGTGAACTTGAAGCCAGAGTCATACGTTGGTTCGCTTACACTTGGGCACAGAGCGGTGCATTAGATGAAGAAAACGTATTGTCATCTCTCCCTGATAAATTAAAAGCTGAAATCGCTATAAGGGTACATTTGGACACATTACGAGAAGTTCGCATATTTCAAGATTGTGAACCTGGTTTATTGGAGGCATTGGTCCTAAAGCTAAAGCTGCAAGTGTTCAGCCCAGGAGATTACATTTGCAGAAAAGGAGATGTTGGCAAGGAAATGTATATTGTGAAGAGAGGACGACTGCAAGTCGTTGCTGATGATGGAAAGACTGTATTAGCTACTTTGAGTGCAGGCTCTGTATTTGGAGAAGTGAGTGTCCTGGAAATCGCCGGTAACAGAACCGGTAATCGACGAACTGCTAATGTACGAGCTTTGGGATACTCTGACCTATTTTGTCTCGCTAAAAGGGATCTCTGGGAGGCTCTAGGTGACTACCCTGATGCAAGAAATACACTCACTGAACGCGGCTGTCAATTGCTTAGAAAGGTTAGCTTGTTAACTCTTATATTCAATGTATATGTAAATACTTTTCTGTCAATTCCATTCTTACACATTATTTTGATGATTGTTTTTTTTCTACAGGATGGACTACTTGATGAAGCTTTGTTTGAAAGCGCACAAACTACCCAACAAAGCCTAGAAGAAACTGTTCACAAATTGGAGACCACCGTAGAAATGCTAAATAATCGTCTACAAGGCCTTTTGGCAGACGTAGGCGAGGAACAAGCTGAAATGAAACAAAGGATGAACAATATAGAAGTTAGGTTAGTTTAACAAGCGATCTTCCATTTTATTGTTCCTTCCGTTCTTTCTTACTCATACTATTTTCTTACTGTATCTCCTACTTATTCTTTCTTACGATTGATTCATTAATATTTTTATACTGTGCTATCTGCTAGATGCGAACGGCGAATAAAATATGTCAGACAAAGCGAATGCGTTCAATTTTATTGTCACGACATCCTATTTTGTTGTTTGTCAACAGGATGCTGGAAGATGAAGTCGATGAACTGCCCTCGGATGACGATGTGACCTCATCCGATGCTTCAGAGTTGAAAAGTGAAATTGCCAAAGATCTAGCTTCAGGATACAGCGAGGCTCCGATGACGTCAGTCAACGATAGCTCCCTTGTGGCGAGTCAGTCAATGCCACTGAGAGAGAGGGGGCATTCGTTTTGCGTTTTAAGAACCACTGCACTCCTCCACGCTCCCCCGGAACCAAGAAGCAAATCACTTCGAATTAAAAGAATCCAGAATGAGTCGTCCGAATGAATCATCTAAAATAGTTTTCTGTGTGGAATAGCAACAGCGGGCTTCAAATTTGGTTTCCGTGCCAACAGTTGGATCAAACAAAAAAATGTGTCAAAACTCATCGATTTAAAAGATTGCAATAAATCAGAGTATACTTGAATAAATATAATATCGTTTTAAATTATTGTAGTTACATGAATGAGATTCAAAGAGTGATAAAACAGGAAGGCAGTGTTGAAATTTTGCAGTGTTTTAGCATTTACGCGACGTATTGGGACAAAAAGACAACCGGTGTCAATGGAATGTGGCTTTAAGTATAAACTTGTTGGAGGGAGATCTTTGAGAAATGATGTAATAATAGTATCATATGACGTCATTGTTTTTTATAATGACATATTCAAATTTGATGTTTTACTTTTAATAAAAAAAATCTACATTTATTCAATAATAGTGAAAAGAAAATATTTACGTAGAATTTTATAGGAACAATATTGTTATACCAGACTGTAATCACAATGATGTGTGTATTCTAGTAAATATGTCAGATTATTCTCTTAGCTCGATGTTAATAAATTAGTATGAAGAGGTTTCAACTTAAATACGTATATATGTATTCGTCTTTCATGTTCATTTATAATTATTTTAATTATGGATAAGCATAAATTTATGAACTCTTCCAGTGTTTTATGTTCATATAGTTGATGCTATATACCTTTCTCAATAAACTGTACAATAATTAACCACATCACCACGAATGGAATATGATGAATTTGAAAATCAATCGGTTATGTGAGACGGCCCTTATCATAACCTTTCATTAACCTTATCAAATACCTCTCGAATGATATCGGGATATTAGCCTAGATTCGTGAATTTATTATTGATCGTGAAAGAAACATATTATAATATGTGCTATTTTAATAATACCTATATTGTATCGCAACCATATCTATCTAGCCATTAAAAGTTTTTAAATATAGAATTGAATTAATATTCCATCTTTTATAGACGTTTTTGGAACATGTGGTCCACGGTATACAGTTTAAAAATATAAAAAGATACATTTATTAGTAGTTAGTATAAACTAGATGCAGTCATTTAGAGGTATACGTAAACATTCAAAATTAAATGAGGTAGAACATTATTTGAGTTTTAAATTGAACTATGACTGTCGATATTAAAATTCTGTTTTTGTTGTTTATAATATTAGTACAAGTATATTTAGAAATAAAAGTGTTTTATGTTTGTTCAATTTATTTGTAGTGATATACCTATTAATGTTTTGAAATTTACATAAATTCTGTTGTCGGGCTTTGCATGAGCCCCGGGTTGGTACCAACGCCTTGATAGAACAATTCGCAAAGCAAGCTGCTCTTGAGTTGTTAGGTTATTTTTGGAGGCACTGGGTGGCTGTTAGCAAATCCCAACCCTCCTGCTAACCCACCTATCCTGATCCTTTATTAATAAATAAAAAAACCAATGCCTTGAATATTTCCGCCGCGTAGCACTGATGCATTCCAAATCTGCAACCCCATAGGCACCATCATAACGTTCCGACATTTAACTTTATAACTAGTCATAAGCAATAGACAAAACACGATGGCTTTCTGGGTTACATCACCGATTACACGCACGCCGTTTTTCATCAGACAACGTGACCAATTAAACTTCTCAACTTGCTTGACGGCGCCTAATGTTTAACCCAACGAAGATTTCTTAACTTTCCTAATTTCCATTATATTTAGTGAGACTGACTTACAATGTTTGATCTAATTTATAGATATATTCTATTACTCTCCGATACTTCATATTGGGTTGAATCGGGAAGTTGTATCGATTTTTTTATTTTTTTATTTATTGCGAAAACTCGTTAAGACTGAACCTGTGTGCTTAGTACGATTTTTTAACGTTCTCGATAACGTAAAAGTTAACTCAAATTCGTATGGAGTTGGAACGTTTGTGTACGTTTGCCGCTAGCAGCGCCGTTCCAACTGCATACAATTTTTTAGTTAACTTTTTCGTTATCGAGAACCTTAAAAAACTTGCACGAAGCACACAGAGCCGATAGATGTCGTAAAAATGACATGCGTCACTCACTTTGAGTTATGAGTTCGAAGTCTCAATTGTATAGTTTAAGGGCTGTCCCGCCCTTCTAACCAGAATATACAGAATGGTGATATATTACGACCTTTCAATTCTCCCTGCCACCAAGTATGTGCCTCTATAACTATTGCCCATTCTGCGGGACGAAAAGGTTTGGTATTATTCTAGGCCGGCTCGACGAAGTCGATTTAAACGGACAAACGTACAGCTCTTCTGATTTCATTAGTTGATAGCACATCGACCTGTCTATTAAAACAAGTTCGATACATCTATATTAATTCCCACGCATCCTTGAGTACTTCCTCCCAGGAGAGACGGTGACAACCCTAAGAATTGGAAAGGCCCTGGTAACAACAGTTTTGAGTGGCTCAATGAGGCTTAAGTCGGTTCTAGTCATTAGGTTAAGGTACTGTTAGTCAAAGTTTATAGCTATGTATACAATGAGAACAAAAAACAGCGATTTTAGTTGATACTTGCTGGGGATAATATCAAAAATAGAGGTAAGGATGAAATAATCAATGAAAATAATTAAATTCGACAAAAAAAAACTATATTGTTTGTTACTTACTACCTTTTGTGTTTTACGGGAAGTAAAACTTATAAGTTCGTGTTTGTAAAATAATTGGGTATAGATTTTGAAACTGCATACTTCTGTGTACAAAAACAAAAGATAAATAAGTTTTGCTAATATGCACGCTAAACATGAATCTTACAGGTAAATAGTTTTCTACACAAGATATACATAACTATATTATGTACAAATATTTTCAAATGTTTGCTCAAATAAACGCATTTGAGCAAACCTACAATGGAGTGATCGGTGTTATCAAAGAGTCTTCGGGAAGCAAAATGAATCCTGACTGTTTTTGAATCGATATATGTATGTATATAAAATAACGTAATTAACTCTCACGTGTCAACAACCTAAGAGTAAATTGAATTATTTATTATTCTTTTATTGTTATTTGAAAAAGTTATAAAATGAAAGTAAGATAAAATCGTAAAAGTATGTTTAATCATGATATATGGTTTAATTACAATTTTTATAGTCTTGTGAGCGTCATTGGAGGACTATACAATATGTAGATGTTGGTTAAGCTCATAGTATTTTCAAAAATACAACAACCAAGATCTTCGTTCAATATTCTGTAGCACTAAACACGATTAATTTGTACAATACTACGCACACCTCATTTGTGTGAGACTAAACATGCCTATCGGTGCGTTATTACGCATATCTTAATTTTGTGGTACTAAACTGCAACTAAACCGCGTACTGGAAGACGTAGCGTGGGTAGGCCTCCCACAAGGTGGGCCGACGACCTATTGAGGTTCGCGGGGATCCGCTGGATGCAGGCAGCGCAGGACCGGTCTTTGTGGCGGGCTTGGGGGAGGCCTATGTCCAGCAGTGGACGTCCATGGGCTGATAGGAAACATGCCATATTTGTGTGCTTCTGAGCACATTTGATTTAACTGGTACTAAGGGTATATCATTTTTTTTAATACTAAATCCGGCTCATTTGATGCTGCTACCCAAAACATAGGTAAGTGACGGCCCCATCAACAAAGAAAGGCAGAAGAGGATTTCAAAGAAACATATGCCATAACTAACATTTATTTTAGCGAATCCAAATTTTCTCGACATCATGATCACTAATTTTAAAAACACTCTTACATTTTATATTATACATTGATCACTACACCGATATTATATATTACAGTTGATTTATATGTAAATGATTAAACTAAATATTTATACGAACAAAGAACTACGGGACACTAAAATATAATAGTTTTAATTTTTTTTTTTTAACTTACCAAAAAAAAATACAATTTGGTTCCACTGAAACAATAATACTACAAACATTCACATTCAGTGATAAAACAATATCATAAACGTAAATAGATTTTAGACGAATAACTTACGAACATTTCTTGATTACAAAATACTCGTATGCTTTTGCATGGACTTACGACACTAGCTAGTTACGTCACTAATATAGGTAACATTGAACGATACACATAACTACAATACGATATACTCATAGAACTACCGTTTAAGCTATGGTAGAAACGTATTCAACACCCATAAGCTAACCTAGATATTAGGCGAACAAAACAAAATCAACTGTGACTCACTAATCGAATGTGAAGTTGAAAAAAGATTCGTTCATCGTGAACCATTGTCCGTTTTGATTTCTCGTCGCTATTTCGAGATCCAAATAATCACATTGTTCTATTTTCTAAAGTACATACATATATATATTTCTTTTCGTATGAGAGTCAGTGGCGTAGCTAGGTAACCAAGGGCCCTGGGGCAAATTAAAAAATGGGGCCCCAATGCTATGTAAGCTGATTAGGTTTTAACAAATAAAAATATGAAATACTTTAAAAATCCTAAGCTACTTTAGCTGTTTTTTGTGCACTGTAGGGCAGGTAATAAAAATGTTAAACAGTAACAACATAAATTACAATTAATACTTGGTGTAGGTTTGGCTAATAACACGAAATAGGGAGGATTCAAAAGTTTAATATATAAAGGTCGGGCACTATCGGCAATAAAACGCACATATCACTATCCATCAAATTGACAGCACTGCCAACCTACAGAAATAATTCAGGGGAATTCCCTAGGCATAACTTTTGAATTTCTCTCAACTGAGTTTTCATGATTAAAGTGGGGTTGCAACCTGTCATATTTATTTTAAAAATAGGAGAAATTTCCAAAAGTTCAGTTCGATCAAGATTTCTAAGGATTCGTAAGGATTCGAGGGCCCCCTGAGCTTGAGGGCTCCGGGGCACTGCCCCGCCTGGCCCCTAGGTAGCTACGCCACTGATGAGAGTTCGACCGTTTGCCCGAATAAACAGAACTCATCAATTATTATATTTATATTTAAAATTCATCGTTCGGTAAGCATACAGTAATATTAAAAAAAAAAACAATACAATAGTACAATACGAGCCAAGCTGCAAATATCAGATTTATAAACGGAATTCTAAACGAAAATATGACCGTCAAAATTTTCAACAAAAACTTACATTAGGTACTTCTAGCACTTAATTTTTAATACCCACAAATCGAACAATAAACAAACAAACAAAAAACTACATTCACAACAAAACAATGTAATTCATAATTCATAACGACGACTGTACATAACACGCTCCGATAGTATGTATTATGTTCTAACTAAATATATTATATAATGATAAGCTTGTACGTACATTTTCTTTAAGCCCTTTATGTATGAGACTATAATATAAGACTCCGCACATTCACAGACTTCAGTTTTGTCTTTACATAAAACATTTAGAATAAGGAGCCGCGTTCGAAAGAAGACTCGACGAGGCCTCTTCTTTGACACCGACTGAAAGAAAGAAAAAAAATAGATTTTTAAAATTACAATAACAAGTTCGTACCGAATATGTGAATTCGCAAGTGCATTTCGTTGGCTAGAACATTGTGATAAGTGAAATTGAAGCACGCCACGAAAACATTATAATGCCATTAAAATACAAATTTCGTTTTCGGCGTTTTAATGTATTTTTATCACACAAGTTGAATATGAATATTAGTCTTTCACCTTATTTTTCTACGCAGACAGAAAAATATTTTACTATCTTCCATCTCAGTCCTGTAAACTGAATAATATCAACGAAAATCAACATCTACCACCGTCCAAGCATATGAAAAACAAATCACAACGACATGTTAATGTACCATAGAAATAAATCGTTTTTAAAACAACAACAACAACAACAACAAGACACATTCACCATTCGTAAGCTGCCATAAAAAAAACATATACTACTTAATAAAAGTATAAAAATATAAATTATTATAGAAATTACCATAGAGATTTGTTCAAATCAGTACACATAATAACAAAAGTGAAACTAGCTAAATGACGAAAAAAGAGACAGAAAGAGAGAGAGAAAGAGAAAGAAAATGAAAACTAAGAATTCACTTTTAGAAAATAGAACGATTAAATTTGCAACAAAATTTATTCCACAAAAAACGATCCAATCGAATTCAACCATTCAATATTACGAAAACAATAAAAGATTGTCTTCATAAAGGTTTAGCGTATACAGTGATGTACATAGCGGTTACAGTTAATATGGCATAAGTATATAATAGATAAGATATAAGATAAGAAACATTAAACAAAACCAACGGTCACCGTCTGGCCAGAAGGAGAAGCGCGCTCCCGCCGTGTCCGACGACGTGACGGCTTCGTGACGACGTGGCGGCGAGAAGTTACTCGACGGCACGTATCCGTGATTAGGGCTCGACGAACCTCCTAGAAATGATTAATGATATTAAAAAAAAAGGACATGCCCGCTGAATTTCTTGCCAATTCTTGTGATGTGTTTTTGTGAATTGGCGGTAGTTCTTTTGACGTTCAACAAGTATATAGGTACTTTCATTTATGTTGAATTTTTTATTTATTTGATTTGATAATTCGAAACTAATTTCCTATTAGAGTCGTAACTTATAACATACTCGATTAGCCCACTAAGTTTCTCGTTAGATCTTCTGAGTGGGCCGCGATTTCGATACGGTGGTAGAATCTGCACTGCTCTGGCTAGGACTAGTGCTAGAATATTCTCTCAGGTTAAGCTAATGAGCTCAACTACCCGTCCGCGAGGTGCAGGAATAGAATAGGTAGGGATAATGACCCAATAGTATTTTTGGGCGTCGAGTCGAACGAAGGCCCACCCTGATCGTTCGCTTACAGTTCTGCTGGACTTAGATAGTTTAGTAGAGTACCGTAAATGATATCTTCCACTTTAATACTTGGGGTTGGTGTTAGCGGCGCGTGCGGCGTCATATTTTCCAAAATAGAGTAAATGTACTCAACCCTTCGCGGGGCATAACGATCTAGAAATTGTATGAAAAAAAACCATTTCAACTTTCATAAAGAAGAAAAGTTATTACTTAATTTTTTAACATTCATGAATGTTGCAGCTTTAAAAAATTATGACCTAATACGAACAGAAATATGCAGATACTACAAAAAAAAAGATGGTAGTAAAAATACTCTCGTTGCCCTGCAGAGGGTTAACCTAATGTGTGTAAATTTTTCAATAAGGATGGCAACTTATTTATTACAATATTAGTTGAATTGTGCACTTTATTTAATCGTTACGTATCCTAAAACATCTGATATCTAGACATCATCGATGGTCAATGGTGACATGAGACAATTTAGCCTGAAAGCGCGTATTCGTATCGGCTAGCATAAAACACCGAAAAAAAGCTTAAATAACATAATATATATATTGAAATGACACTTTTGAAGCGGTTTCATATATGTTACAATTAATTGCATCATATTATTTGGATCAAGTTCGCTAATTCGCAAATTATGAAAATTCATTTTAATTTTGTGGAATTTGTTTATTAAACATGTCTTAGGTAATTTTAGAATTGAAATGACTATAAAATATCGCAAAAAACATAACTCTTACGCCTAGAGCTTTTAGTATTTAATTGAAAACGAAAAGAGCTTTAATCTCGCGATGCCTTCAATAAACTGCACAGTGACGCCATCTATCGAAAATTTTCCGACACTATCAGTTCTCTCAAATAACTATAGATGCCGCTACGGCGGAAAGCTTTTCGTGTAGTTCTGATATGAATTTGAATATATTAACTTAATTTTTATTTTGATAAAACTACACAATGACATCAAAATTTCTGATTTTGATTGTAAAGAAGATGTGTGTTTATTTTCCAATCAAAGTTTATTTTGATTTAGCCAAGATAAGAAGAGCGCAATAGGAGCTTTTCTTCTTAAGAAAATCTAAACTGCCCAAAAATTAAATATTGCACATGATTGAACAATGCACACTTCAACTAAAACAGAAGGTTACCATGGTAATTATAGGCAGAAATAAACTCATCATCTCGAATGAATTGTTATGAATTATACTAGATGAAAATGAAGAATGGCATTAGTTGAATTGGAAATTCTTAAAACTCAAATTTTTGATTCCACGTTCAAACAAAGGGATATAGTTAAAATCCCTAAAAGCAAATTGGTATAATAATATCATAATAAGCATCGTACCTTCAGGCCAGAAAGGTAATCTGACCGGCGTGTCCGAAGAAGTGACGATGTCGTGATGTCGACTAGGCGAGAAATCACCAACAGAGGAATTCGCATATGCAGGTCCTGGACTTGGCGGGCCGTCTGTAATCAAATCAAGTGTAATAATCTCAAAAATAGAAACAATATAGCTTTTTTATAGAACATAAATCGGTAGGCAGTGGCTTGGCTCTGCCCCTGGCATTGCTGAAGTCCATGGGCGACGGTAACCACTCACCATCAGGTGGGCCGTATGCTCGTCTGCGTACAAGCCTAAAAAGGCAAAAAAAAATCATAACCGAAACAAAAGTGCTCCGTAAAGCCTACAGGTCACGACCCTCAGCACTAGAAGAGGATAACTTTTTTAGAAACGGTTTTCTTTTAATACTAAATTCAAATGTGATTAATAATTATGTTACGGTATATTCAAATCATTCAAACAGAATATAAAGCAACTGTGCTCTAAAGCTTGTATTAAAATCCTTCATGTTAATTTCTGAAACACGTGAACTGCAATCTGACGATAAATGTTGGTACTAAAATACAACATGCATTTAAGAAGAATGCCGAGATATTTCTTACTCTTTTAATTTCGACACTCACCGATAGATGTCACTCCAATGGGATTGTACGAGTTGACGTGCGACATCGACTGCATGGGTTGCAGAGAGCTCGGGAACTGAAAATAGTATTACGAATTTATATTTCGTACTGTTTTAGATTATGAATAATAATTGAGCATTAGATGGGATTAGATATTTTTAATTAATTTAAGGCATGAGACCTTACGTAGCAATTCCCTTCTTGATGCAAGCAGAATAATTATTGTGATGCTCGCGTTTCGCAATGTATGAATAGCTACGTCTGGAGCTACGTCTGGGCGTCAGCTGATTTGTTAATCTGTATTCCGTTACGCAATTCGGAATATATATTAAAAAAAAAAAAAACAGTTCGGAAATGTCATATTTGAAATAAACGTTCCTTTATTAAATCCTTTTCAATTAATAATTTATTTTTTATTCGATTTTTTTTTTATGTAATATCGTGATTGGAAATATTATGTGCACTACAGACTGATTTCGACCCGTCGCCGATTCCTTTGCACCCAGTTTCTTGGTTCTAAACCTGTTTCTTCGGTCTTAGTCATCCTTACATTGTAGCTTTTAAAAGACTCCATTGAAGCATTGCGTAGGTACCTACTTAGAATGATAGATACAGTACGCATACCAGTGTACAATAACAGATACACTTATTACAGCTAATATTTGCACAATTAACGATATTCGATAAAAAAATCTATTAATTACCAAACAAGGATTTTGACGAACCAAACAATGGTTTTAAAAAAAAACAGTTCTCAAATATTCTTATAACGGTCATCCATAGCTACTAAACAAAAAAAAGGCTTTTGCAAACAGTGGAGAATATAGGTAGTAACTGGGTTGTCAGATTTTTTTTCAGCCAATAACAGGCAAATGCTTAAAGAGGCAAAATACGGGAATTTAGTTTTTTACCCGGGACAAATAAAAAAAAATTATATAGTGACATTATTTATTTTTTTATATTTCTCCGAGGAGCAAGTCAGTTTTAACATATTTAGAAAAATCAATACAATTATAACGATACGATTCGAAAACGGGACAGAGTCAGTCCCGTACTTTACATTTTTCTTACTTCCCGACATTTTAAGCTAACCCTAAAATACGGAACGTCTCGGGAAATCCGGGACGTCTGGCAACCCTAGTAGTAACTGAACTGTTTCGTCTTTGTCTTTATATACATACTTAGAAAAAAGCCTTTATATTCTGATCGACTCGTGTTAGTAATGAAACTTAAAACAGGATTCACGGTAAATAAATTTTTAACTTACTAACTTAAACTTTTAAAAAACTTTGTAATTCGATTACAATTTAGCTAAAAATTTACTTTTCTCGTACCTATTTGATTTTGTCAAGTGAAATGATTAACAACCGATCTAAAGAGCGGAAGTATAGTTGTGTAGAATTAAGAAAAAAAATTAAACGCAATTTTCCTTTACATCTAAAAATATCATAATAAGCCGTGGAATGCGTTGTTTTTTTTATTGCCTTTGTAGGCAGACGAGCATGCGGCCCTCCTGATGTTAAGTGATCACCGTCGCTCATGGACGTCAGCAATGCCAGAGGCAGAGCCAAGCCCCTGCCTACCAATTAAGCTTATTAAGCACATCGCAGGCAGGCCGGTGAAAAAAGTTTTTGGGGCACTTCAAGCGAAGTAATTCAAGCAGCCACATTTAAAGTCCAGTCAATAAGTGTAGATGCCTATCAATAAACGGTATCAATTTACCTCCACTCAAAACTTTAACGCTCCGGTTCATTAGAACTTATATCTCGAGGTGGGTGGCGCATTTACGTTGTAGATGTCTATGGGCTCCAGTAACCACTTAACATCAGGTGGGCTGTGAGCTCGTCCATCCATCTAAGCAATAAAAAAAAAAATCATTGTACTACCATGTTGCCAATTTGCCAGAATTTTACGGCCCTTTGGTACGCCATTAAAATTTTAATCTCGATTTAATTACAAAAATGAAACACACTTAACACGCCATCTAAATGTACCGAACCGTTGAAATGGTTTCATTCTTTCGGACGTAGGTACTTTCGTTTATTATTTTTATTCAATAACAGTAATATGACTTTTACGACCAAATAGTTTTATTAAACACTAGCTGAACCCATCCGCTTCGCTGGGCGTTTAAAATTAACATTATTATTTCTCACCCCCACAAAGATTCTCATCATTAACGCCCCCGCAACTGCTATAGGGAAGCCAACACTCATACAAATATTAGCTTATCCATTAAGTACATGTATTTTTACATGGATACCAAGTTTCAAGTCAATCGGATGCATGGTTCAGTAGTTATAACGGAACATCCGTAAAAACCACTGTAGATTTGTATATTAATACAGATTTAAAAAAATATATACAATATGGCTGGCCACTTTCAATAATAATAAAAAAAATATTGAAATTGTTAAGTAAATAAAACGTTCTACAATCAAGGATTCTGACATGTCTACGCAGTAAATGTAAATACTTATGCGAAACAGGAACACACTAAGCGCTCACTAACTCCAATTGAGAACAAGTGCACGTTGACCCCCATTGCCGAATATCGTATTTAAAACCCGAGTACAATAGACAGGGTCTACTTAAACTTGTTAAGTTTATATTACATTGAGGGGTGAAAGGCGAAACCAAATAGGCTTAAGCGACATTTTTGAGACTTTACGAATGGCTCGTATATACCTACAGCTTAAATTTGAAAAAATATTATAACAAAACAACTTCTTTAGCTATTTGAATGATGTACACATAATCGAAGTTCAATTGAAAACATCGAATCGTTGATGATGATACTAAATAAAACGCACCTTTAATTACAAACATAAATTTCGCGTATCAAGCGAAATATCGCTTAAGCTAAGTAGCCTTTCACGTCTCGATATACTTTCTATGTTTCATAATATTACATAAGATCCTTTACAAACTTAAAAGCCCGGCGATTTAAATATACACACGTCCGCGGAACGTAGATTTATAGACCTTTATTAAGCTTGAAATAAGGCATATATATTATCTCCAAATATACTGGTGGTAGGAGCTCTTGTGAGTCCACACGGTTAGGTACCACCATCCTACCTATATCTGCCGTTAAGCAGTAATGCGTTTCGGTTTGAAGGGTGGGGCAGCCGTTGTAACTATACTAAGACCTTAGAACTTATATCTCAAGGTGGGTGGCGCATTTACGTTGTAGATGTCTATGGGCTCCAGTAATATCTACCCGCGCGGACTCACAAGAGGTCCCACCACCAGTAAGCAAAAAATAAAAAATATTAAAAACATCGTGGTCGATCATCATACATCTGATGTTGTAACAAAGTGTGTACGGGAACAATTGTTACGGCTTACTTGACCCTGCAGTTGATGTGTAGCGAATGGGCTGACCGCGACACTAGGAGCTTGGTGGGGAAGCGCGCTGTGTGGCGAGCACCCAGGAGGGCTACGGGCCATCGAGCCATAGCCAAGCCCACCCGCGGACTGACTCAGCCATGTACTGAAAAAAACATTGTCACATTCGCACTTGAGACCTCCCACACGCAATTATCACAACACGAGCCGTTTCTTGCTTACAAAGTATTAATTACACATTAATGTTATTGTTTATCGATTCAGCTGTCTATGCATTCCATGATTGCACGACGCCGTTGTCGTTTAGAAATCTCAGCTGTTTCTTGATTGTTGCGAGTAAGGGAGAATTCGGGACGGATAATCTGATGCTTCAGAAATATTTACACTTAGTGACACGACACTTATGGAAAATAATAATCGGTTTTAAACGAGTATTAAGTGATTGATACTATAAACATTGTCTTATGTAATAAATTACACAAAAATGCAGTAAGCACGTACATACTTGTATATATATACACTACTGAAAATTTACGAAAATAGTATGTCAATTTTGAATTCACTCTCGTTCTGGGGGACTAAAACTATTAATAATTGACATTTTTTTAGATATTAGACAAGTTATATGAGTTTGTGGATATCAACCGGAATCTAACAGTTCTACATCAAATTATATTTGTTTATTTTACTACCGAGAAACTAGTCAATCCACACCTAGAAAGAAAGCCAGTGGATTCGTTTATCGCTAATAAAAAAGGTTTTCGCCCTATAATTTAATGCTTTCAATGTAATCATGCTTTCTAGTTTGAAGGAAAGGGAAATTATTATTAAGCAGTTAAACTGTAGTATGCGGGCTTTTTTCCTACCTTACTGATAGCCTTGAGAGGCTATATCAGCGTTACCCTAGCGTGTAGGTGAGCTCACGGGGCTCAAGTCGGATGTGTTGCCAGCACTAGCCCTAGCAAGAGCTTCGCAGAATCTACCACCGGATCGAAAACGCGATCCACTGAGAAGATCCGGCAAGAAACTCAGTGGGGTGTCTCTAACGAACTGGACTGCCTGACTGACATTATTCCGAAAATATCGATAAAAAATACCACATACATCGTAAACAAATCTCCGTAAGAAAAGGACATACGTATCGTAAGACTTACAATTTACGTCAGTCAGTCGTGCAGACTTGCAACTAAAGCGTACCATTATTGGGTAAATTTTTCGCCTCAAAGACTTTGTAGGACAAACATTTAGCGGTGTATAGCCGGAGATAAAATGCAGAAACCACGCCCACCACACCTGTCGGCCAATCGTGAGCCGGTTACTTAGTCTTTAACAATAATAAAATACATGATCATTCATTTCTTCCTTTTTTACGGTACTAGTTTTATGTTTATTAAGAAACAATAATTAAAATTTACTGAAATGTATTCATTTTCGGGACTGTGGTGCGTATATACATACGTATTCAATATATTTTTTGTCCTTTTTAAAGAATCGATAATTTATTTTAAAAGAATTGATTTAAAAATATCTATGTTACAGTATTATTATGTAGTATTGTATCAAGTATTGTAAAATCTACTATTTATAATATACAAATTTATAAAATACTTAAAAAAGTAAGAGAAACTCAAAGACAGATGACATAGATTAGAACATCGAACTTACAAACTTGATAAAACACTAGTAGGTATACATTGGCGGTGATATGAAATATTATTTCCGATAAAAAACTCATCACTTCTTATCTTAAAACTAAATTCGATGCACCGGCCTAAGCTTCCTAGAGTAGATTAATATATATTATAAAATTAACTCCTTAATATTTATTATTAAAAATATTATAAGTATTATGATGATAATTAAAGACGACACCGCTAATAAGATATTGTTTACTTGTCAGGTAATGTTATTATCTACGACCGTCACCTCCGAGCGTAACCTTACGACATGTTGATTACACCTGACGTTCAATTAAACTTATAAAAGTCGCGCGGAAATCAGCGCTGATATGAATTAAAAAAAAAAAAGTTTAATTCTAGCAAAGACGAGAGACTCTATCTCTATTGATTTTATTTATTTCAAACCATTCCAAGAACAGTGATTTTTATTTATTTATTGCATAATCTAACTAGGACAAACCCACGGTTCACCTTTTGTGAAGTGCTTACCGGGGCTCATAAATATATACAAAGTAAGTGTCGCCACCCACCTTGAGACATGAGTTCTCAGTTTTTATCGTACAAAGCCTGCCCCGGCTTTCAAACTGAAATGCATAACTGCTTCACGGCAGAAACAGGCGAAGTGGGGATACCTACCCGGGCGGATTCACACGGCTGAAATTATACTATATAGTACAATGTATAGCTATTCTTGGAGAAATAAGGAACTGGTTGGAACCAGATTAAAATATTAATTTAAGGATTCTTTTTTTACGATTGTTCTTTGCCGTCTCCACTAAAACTATTCAGTAAAAAATATGTCGAAATACAGCATTTTTATGCAATTGGCTGCGGCTTTTGTTTATTTAAAATTAAACTAAATTTCAAAAAAATAAATAAAAATATTGAAAGATTGAGCTAATCTACATTTTATGAGTAAGACGATATGTTTGTATTAAAAAAATTACATAACTTTACGGATGGTTACCATGCATTATCCTATTCCTATAGTTGCCATATTTTATTGTAAGCCGTGTCGATTTATACTTGAGTGAATTTAAAACTTCATTTCTCCGCATATTATATACGTGATAATATATAGTTCTAAGTAATATTGCGTACTTCGTAAGATTTACGATAATTGTTGACAACCTTTGTTGGTAACTAAATGAGTAAAATGGGCATCTGTAGTCAAGAGGTGTTGGTGACACAAAAAATTACAAGTATCGTTTGACATTAACTCAACTTATGTTCGTAGTATGAGCGCATGGATAGATTAAAAAGAATTATTATACAGCGGTCACCACAAACTCTGAAATCAATTAGCTCTTCGTTTATGAACAACATAAAAAGGCAAAAATTAGAATAAAAGATGATAAAAAAGAAAGTTAATCATTAAAATATGTTTGTAAAAATGATGACCAGAAACATAAATATTTATTGTTATTTTGCTCCTACCTATTCGCTGGTAACCTAAGAGGCTATTCCAGCTACGTGATTCCTATTCCTATTCCAGTGAGCTCACGGCCTAAGCCCGAGAGAATTTGCTAACACTAGCCCTAGTAAAAGCTGTGCTTCGCAGAATCTACGACCGAATTGGAACCGCGACCCACTGAAAAGACCCGACGAGAAACTCAGCGGGTTGTGTTTATGGGATTTATTGTAATTAAAACCTAATCGTATGTCTGCATGTAATGTCACGACATTACTGGCTCGCCAGTCGGGTTAGAACTGTCAAGAACTAACTGCCGCATTACGGATTGTAAAAATAACAGTCGTAATGTCCAAAAACATATCTGAGTTTCAATATCAGTGTACGTATTTGTGTAATGCATGTATCATTTAATACGTTATCGCTAATTACAAGGCATTGACCGAATTATCTCGTTTGAGTAACAATTAGTGTGCTCTTTTTAATTAACAATTTTGGCATTACATGGCTTGCGAAAGTTGAGCAAATATTTCGGGGTAGGTACTGTTGTTTTCTTACAAATAAAACTAGTTAATGCATTGAAAGTAAGCAATGACTATTTCTGGATACTCACGCGTCATATCTGGGATAGGAAGGTGGATGATACGGCGAACCAGACCCGAAGTAGTTTCTGGGGCCCAATGGGAGCGGTTGCATGTGCGGTGGGACGTGTTGAGCCACGTGCGACACGTGGTACCCGTCACCGAAAAGCGCTTTCGAGTAGGGATTAGCCCTGAACGGTCTCTTCATACGCCGCCGCCGTCGGAAATTACCATTCTCGAACATTTCCCCGCATTGTGGATCTAAAAGAACACTTTATTCAAGATCTAAAACATGCCCGAATTAACGCTAGCAAATAAAACTCGCTTAAATAAATAAATGAACAATACGCCTAGCCAGACATTCGCAGTGCAAAAAAATGGCAAAAATTAGATCGGTTGGTACATAAAATAATTTAATTTACATAATAATAATATGGGCGAAAACAATCAAAAAAAATAACACAAACTCCACAAAAATCGAGCAACGTAAATTCATATCATAAATCTTACCAAGAGTCCAATAATTTCCTTTTCGCTCACCGCCTCCCTCCCTCGGCACCTTTATGAAGCATTCGTTGAGACTGAGATTGTGTCTGATCGAGTTCTGCCAGCCTTTTTTGTTTTTCTCGAAGAAAGGGAATTCCTTCGTGATATAGGCGTAAATTTCACTCAGCGTGGCCCGTTTCGTTTGACTGTTTTGTATGGCCATCGTAATGAGAGCGACGTACGAATACGGGGGTTTGGTCAGAGCCTGCGAATTCGACGAAGTTGTCTGTGCCTTAATTTCGCTGTTCCCGGGGCTCGACGGCGTCATTGTTTTTATTTTAGATTTCGAGTCCTCGCTAGAGTGGATAATATGAAAAAGGATTAAATACAAAACATTTAACGTTCATATAAAAAATCGGAGTACCTCTTTTTGAACTTCGTTTAGTTTAGTTAAACTCAAAAAGAATAATAGGAAATTCGTGAGTTATAGGCAACCCAGTTTATTTCAAATGTAAAAATGCCCGCAGATTCAAATGGCGTATATATTTTTATTTGTAAATTGCTTTCCAATTGATCTTACAGTAAATGTGATATAGCTTAGCAACAGTTACAGAGCTGTATAATTATAGATTTTAAATTGATTGTCAACTTTAAACTCGGCCAAAAGAAACGAAAAAAGATCTGACTTTTATTATAAAAAGGGTATTTGCTATCCCAAAATCATCTCTATCATTTTCCTTTCCTATTCGTAATATTACCTACGTATTTTCTTGTCAATATTAGAACTTCGGAATACTTATTACATAAAAACGATAAACGTACCTGTTATTTGGACTAGTTTCCTCCCTAGATGGCAGCGTCGGTAAGGACAATGTCTGATAAACTCGAGACAGGTCTTCGTCCCCTTTTGAATTCTGAGCGTTGTGGTTCTCATTGGTGTTGGTATCCATGCATATACGATTATCGTACGGTGAAGTAACTAGTGAAGAGAATTATTTTGATAGTTAAATTATTGGATTAATGTACGGTGTGTTAGAGGCGTAAACGTTAAGGAAGAAAGTAAAGTTCAATTTTGACAATTCAAGGTACCACTGTTAATTTTTCTACTACAGAACGAATACAATCGTTTTTACGCTAAGTGACGACGCTAGGAAATTACTTTTTTTTGTAAATGTTTTTGCATTGCACTTAATGTAACAGAAGTACAAAAATAAGAGGGTTCAACGACTTCTGAGAACTTTTGGCGTTTCGTTCACGTGATATTACTGCTTTAGACCAGGGTTCGACGTGCGACTTAAGCCACAGTTACAAACCCACTGAGTTTCTCGCCGGATCTTCTCAGTGGGTCGCGTTTCCGATCCGGTGGTAGATTCAGCGAAACACTGCTCTTATTAGGGCAAATGTTACGTACAGTATCCCGGGCTGAGCTGTGTGAGGTCACCTACACCACAGGTGAAGCTAATATAACCCTTTGTGGCTACTAGCAGGTTAGCAAAAAATCGCTTATTTAGGTACATATTATTGCGTAGTTTTTTTACCTAAAAGATCGAGAAAATTGTGGATACGACCTATATAAATTATTTTAAGTAATGTTACCATATCAATTATCGTATATATATCCACAATTCGTTATTATGGAATCATAATTAGAAATGTGAACCATTAAATTCCGATTTGTAGGTATCCAAATTTCATCTCTAACTAATTGAGTTTAGATGGCATTTTGTAAAATCATAATGTAATATGAAATGGCTTTCATTAATTATAAACAGCAAATGTAAACAAAATACACGTATTAGGTCAGAAATGAAATATTTTCTTGATAAATGCCCACCATGAACGTAATAAAATATCACAAATGATCGTCACCTTATAAAGGTCAGGCGTCGCGAAACACCGAACCTAAGATTTTATATTTTGAGAACTATTCCCTTACTTTATTATACAATTATCATATTATTATTATACGCTTGTATATAACAATAAAGGTGGGTATATAACAAAGCTATTATTAACAAATACCCTAGACTTTTTTGCGGAAACGTGAGAAGTGAAGTTATGTGATTTGTTTTGTTAGGTCTATTTAGTGTTTCTTCAGGTTTAAATATATAATGATGGTGGTTTATTAACTGCTTAATATCTGTGAAAGTGCACAAATGTGGGAAAATTAAACAAAGCCGTTGGACGTAGCATCACGGAATCGTCCAAAAAGTCCACTTAAAAAAATCTCAGTAAATGACCACCATTTTACTGAGATTAGATTTCATCCCATATCATCTCATCTCAATTTATTTAATTTCATCGCACTTGACTAATTTGTCAAATTAATCATCTTCATTTGATTTCATTTCACTCCCTATTATTATTTTTCATAAAAATTAAAATAAGACTTGACTTAAAGGTCTTAGTTACCAGGTCATGAATCGTGAAAAACAAATACCATCAATTACGCCAGTAGTCGATTGCTAATGTTTATATATTTGTAAAATTAAAGCCTATAGTCATAAAGTAATAAGAAAATTTCATAAGGAACTTAAGCAATTACAACAGGAAGGTGCAAAGTAAACATAATTCAGATCTTGAATACGTCGGGTAGGTATTCAAGAACCTAAAATGCTCACCTCCCACCTGGTGTTAAATGATTATCGGAACTTATAGATATGGACAATGTAAATGCCGCCACTCATATAAAGACATGAGTCCTAAATCTCAGCTCTTCAGTAGAATAGCTGCCCCACTGTTCGAACTGGAATGAATTACTACTTCCAAATTGAAATAGAACAGGCGGTGGTACCTACCCCTGCGTGTCAGAAATTACGCAAATTATAATTTTGGTAGGTTTGACTCGTGAAAATCATTCGAGAACATGTTCTTAATTAAGTAGGTCGGAAAAATCGGTATCTGACGGTAGGACTGGCATAGTCGCATCATTAATTACAAATACAACGGGCTTTTTATCCTTTAGGGCACGATTACTTCAAAATTTGATTGTGTAAAATTTATAATACTCACACCAATATAAAAACGCTGGCTTAATCGTTTCGAGGTTTTGTAAAGTAAAACTCAAAACAAACTCACTGTTTATTATTAACAAAAAATAGCCGAATATCAATAATTATAATCAGCAAAGCAACACCTCATCTACAAAGTGTCTGAAAAACTTAAACAAAAAACACTACAGTCTTTTAAGTTTCGACACAGAATATACTAAATTCAATTTTTTCACGAACGCAATTCCATAAGTCACTCTATAAGCGAGTAGGTACGTAAACTACTTCTGATAATATTTCCATAATAATGCAACAAAGTAGTTACAAGGACGAAATACATTACACTCATCATGAGAATGGCATCTTCCAATACACATCGACCGAATTCAACACATATTATTGTTATTGTGTTGTAAAATTTAACACATGAGATTTAGCCAATCTCACGCGTACGTGCCTCCCGAAACAGTTTTCTCAGAATTAGTCGCTTAGCTTTATAGGTAACTAAACAAGCGTTATATGTACTCTTTGTAGGTAAGTATTCTAGTTAATGAGTCTACGGCAGCGAGTACGTCCGAAATCGATGTAATTATTGATGACATAATCATGTACCCGTTTATGGATGAAAGAAAGGGTTTGGGCATTTCAAACTACTGAACAAACGTCAATATTGTACGCTTAAAATGAAAAGCGTATGGAATTCTTTGAATTGCACGTTTGCATGTTTATAATTGTTATTTGCTAATTCGTTCAGAAACAAGACATGAAGATAAACAAGAGACCAAAATAAACTTTCGCACACACAAGATGTCTTCGAATTAGCTTAAAATCCAACAAACGGCGATCTTAATATATGACCAAAATAAACTAGTGAATTTGTGTGAAACTGTAAGAATACATTTTCATAATGGTTGTTCGTGAGAATGCGTCAGACAGTCGCCATTGCCGTCCGACTATGTGGTAGGATATCGGATTTGAGCCGAGCGAGGCAAACGGCGCGAGGTATTGTGTCGCTTATAGAACAATGCGTCGTATTTATAAAACATTAAAAGCCGGCGTATCGTTCGCGAAATTAATAACAAATAACAATTGTGAAACGTTAGTTCGGGAACTGTGCGAATTACCCGTGCGATTGAATAATGCGTTCACGAATAATTCGTGATCGACTTACGTCTTTTGTGGTGCCATTAAACAATTGCTGAAATGTTAAATAATGTCGAACTAAGCGGTGTAATATATATATATAATTTATGTTGTATTCCATTTTTATTTACTACTAACTGTACCCTTCCGCATCGCTGGGCATTTAAAATTAACATTATTATTTCTCAACACCACAAAGATTCTCATCATTAACGTCCCCGCAACTGATGTAGGGAGTCCAACACTCATATAAATATTAGCCTATCCATTAAATCCATGTATTTTCTACAATATTTCAAGTTACAAGGATACAAAGTTTCAAGTCAATCGGATGCACGGTTCAGTAGTTATAGCGGAACATCCGTAAAACGACTGTAGATTTATATATTAGTATAAATTTATACCTGAACAGAAAAGAACGAGACAGTATTTCGACAATGCTAATTGTTAATGTGCGTTTAAAGATAATGTTGCAAAAGAGGGACTTCTAAAAAATACGAATTGTAGTTAAAAAAAATTGCCATTATAAATATACTTCGACTACATTAAAAATGTCAGATTCTATAAAAAGAACCCATCGTAAAATATATATTATATGAGATATTTGTAAACGTATTATCTAATAGTTCATGTTATATCAATAATCCCACTCAATCATGCATACCTATTATTTACTAAAGCGCACCGAGTATCCGGATCCCTTAATCCCTAAGGATTTGCCCCAAGCAAAGAAATATGATATTTACACTCAATTAGCACAGTGTATCCATGGAATTGGAACACCTTGAGGCCATTCCACCAGCACCTGGTTACAAACGAAAAAGAAAACGAACCTCATAACGTTGTGTAAACAATCGTTAATCTCGGGCCGAGATGTTTGAAATTTCACAAAAAAAAAAGAGAATCGAGATTTGTTTATAAATAATAGTGGAAATGTTTTGTAAACGGATAGCACTAATTTGACAAGTAACAATCTGATTGACCGTAAATTATGTTAGCACATTATTACGTTTGAATGCAACAAATTGTTTTCTATGTATTTTATGTGTTGATAATATAATTGAAGGATTGTAAATTCATGTAAACATAGCACTTAAAATGTAACTCTAATATCATTTTATCACGTGCATCAGATTAAGAACGTTTTTCAAGACAAATTTGAAATTACGCCTATTATTAGCAAAGGCTGCTAATAAAAAACGGTCTTAACAATGTATTTTAAAACAAATTGTTCGATGTTCGTTACATAACGTTGAGAAAGGGAGTTCTTTGTTGTTATTATTTTTAATTTATATTATGATGCTTCGAATAGGCAGAGGAGCTCACGTACTTGGTGGCGTTTTATGGCTTGCAGAAGCACATAGACATCACAGCGTGAACACCACCCATTACGTTGAAGTTGAGTTCTATCACATGTCTATACTGCATTGTAGTCGACAGCTGAGAGCTGGGCGGCAAATATAGTCAGAATACTGATATCGAAGTTCGTTTGTCCACCAAAACATCTTGTTTAGCCCACTTAGTTTCTCGCCGGATCTTCTCAGTGGGTCGCGTTTCCGATCCGGTGGTAGATTCTGCGAAGCACAGCTCTTGCCAGGGTTCGTGTTAGCAAGGTCGTCAGGTTTGAGCCCCGTGAGCTCACCTACTAGTTAAGGTTACGCTGAAATAGCCTCTCAAGGCTATCAGCATGGGTAGACAAAAATATCATCAAATTTAACTTGAAAGTCGTTTTTTTTTACTTGCATGTGAGTTATGAACTTGGCAAAGTGACTATACCGATCGTTCTATCCTTTTGGGCGATGAGCACCAGCTGTCACTTTACCTCTCAGTACATTTTTTGTCATAT